AGTTGTTCAACAGATAAATGATTTTAAAAATTATTCACCTGAAGAACGATTTTAAGTGTCGTATATTAGTAAATATTTTTAAAAGTGCAACATATTAGTATATAATTTTACTCTTTGTAGTATTTTGGTAAAAAAACCAGTTGTGTGGCATTTGTTAGGTTTGACAAGAAATCGAGTATTGGGTAGAGACCTTTTATGCCTATGACCAAAATAATAATAATAATAATTTAGTCCTACAATTAATTGCTACAATTAAAAATTTACAATCAAAGAATAATTTTTTTTGTTACATATTATTTGATATAAGAAAAATAAAAAGAAGAGGAAATGACAAAAAATTTCATCAAGCTCTATTTAAAAAAATAAAAAAATTGGGATTTTCAAATTTTAATCCAATATAGACGGTGTTGCCCCATGGGAGTATTGTCAAGGATTCTTATTTTTGCATGTAAAATTGGCAGAGATTCGTATGTGAAAAAGTGAACAGGAAAAAGTAAAATCATTTTTGACGTGAACGATTTCAGAAATCGTTCACGCCAAGAACAATTTATGTGTAATTTTTAAATCGTTCTTGCCAAGAACGATTTTAAATGCAGCATATTGGTAAATAGTTTTAAAAGTACAACATTTTGGTGTATAGTTTTACTGTTCGTTGTATATTAGTAAAAAAAACCCACTTATAACCATGTTAATGTAAGCCATAATTATATTATATTTCATAAATTGCAATCAGAAAACGCGTACAAGTCATTCTAAATAACCTCAAAGTAGCTGAAGGGACAGAACAAATCATGTAATGAAAACGTAATGTTGTAAATGGTATATGGAATGTTGTAAATTTTTTTTTTAATTTGGCTTTGGGTATAAATTACATTTTTTTGGAGTAGCGTTTAGAGCTTCCTTTTTTTTTTTTTTTAAGCAAAGGAGTAGCTTTAGAGCTTAATAATGGCTTTATTAGGTTTAACAAGGAGTGATGTTTGTTCCCAAAATAATAATACGACATTAGCATATGAATACAACATTGTTTGGCCATTATTTTTCATACAGCATATGTTTTTGGAAAAAAGACAATACAATACCCTTAAAATTACTAAATGACGAATTAGGGTAGGTAACTTTCAAAATTCCAATTCAGACCCTAGGTACCATTTTGGAATTTTTAAATCTTGTAAAATGACAACATTGTCCTTATTGTCGGTAACTACTTCCATATAACTATTGACTACTCTGTTTTAACTATTGACAACTTTTGTTTTCAAAGTTCCAATGAATATTTTTATATAGCTATTGACTACATAATAGTAGTAAATCGCATTACTGGAGTAGTTAATAGCTTAGCAAGAGTAGTCATCAGAATTTAAAAATAAATGTAGTCAATAGCTAAAAAAGAGTAGTCAATACATAAGAAAGAGTAGTCACTAGAGCACCCCTGACCAGTCACTGGAGTTCCGGTAACGTGTCATCAAAGTTCAAAAATAAACGTAGTCAATAGCTAAAAAAGAATAGTCAATATATAAGAAAGAGTAGTCACTGGAGCTCCGGTGACCGGTCGTTAGAGCTTCGGTGGTTGGTCGCAGGCAGTTTCACCGGCGTCGGAGCTCCGGCAGCCGGAATTGCTGATATGGTAGTATTTTAAAAAAAGTAATAAAAAAAAAGATAAAGGGCATTTGTGTAATTTTACAACATTTGACAATTCCAAAATTGTACCTGGGGTCTGAATTGAGATTTTGAAATTTATCTACCCTAATTTGTTATTTAGTAATTTTGAGGGTATCTTATTGTCTTTCTCCCTATGTTTTTTATCAAGTCAAATCGTAACACTCCTTTAACATGAAATGAATATTTAATATTTTGTTGTTATTTCTCGTCTACTCATTCACCTATATTCATCTACTCCTCTGGTCTTTGATATAAAACCTAAGTATTAAGTTAATTTTGGTTCCAAATATAAAAGTTATCTTCCATATTTATTAATTTTTTTTCTAAATTATCTCTATGAATGCTCTCTTAACCATAATCAAATAAGTGAGAGAAGAAAAATACTAAGAAAGATGATTATGATATTTTAAAAAAAATATATCATATTTTTTAAAATTAAATAACTTATCTAACTTTCTTAATCTAATAAAATTAGTTAAATATGTTATATATTACGGATGGGAGGAGTATTTACTAAAGGGAAAATGACAACAACAACAAAATCGGCTGACCAAAAGCGGAGCTAAACAAAATGGTATTCTCTCTCATTCATAATATAAGAAGTCTTTCAGGAAAAAAAAAATCGTTCAAAATATAAGAAATTAACAGGGTAATTAATAATAGTTTTTCATTTTTACTTTTGATTAAAAGGAGGAGACTGAGTTTTAAATATACATAAAAGTGAAGAGAAAATGTTCCAATAGCATTCTTCAATAGGGGTAATTTTTATCAATTTAAAATATATTTAATGATTTAACTAATATTTCTTAATCTCAATTTATAAGAAAGTCTAACAAACCCCAGAGGAAACATGACGTTAGCATATGAATATAAAATTGCTTGACTATTATTTTTCATACAACACATATTACTTATCGAGTCAAATCTTAATACTATTTCCGATCCTAATTATAAGAGCCAGTTGACTAATTTGAGGAAATTAAGAAAGTAAGTTGAGTTAGTTATTTGTCCTAAATAAGTGTTGTCTTTTCTAAAATATCTTTACTAATCAAGTGTATTGACTAGAACTCTTATTATTAGAAGGGCTACTTTGGAAAAAAAATATAAATATGAGAGACAAAGTGGATTAGAATCTTATATTTAGAACTAAAATAAAAGTCAAATAGAGTATTATATTAAAAATCGAAGGTAGTATTTCTCTAATGTGAACTGAATATTTATTATTTTGTTATTGCATTTTGTCTACTCGTATCAGCTATATTAACCTATTTATTAAAGGAAAAATTGACACAAAAAGAAATTTAAAAATAGTGATGGAAACAAACAAAAGAAAAGAAAAAAATCTTTTCTTAATGCTCGGGAGAATTACAAAACGAAAAACAGCAAGCGGGTAATCCGATCATCCTCTCAAAGTGGTTAAACTACTTAAAATATTTGACTGGAAATAATGATAAAAGGCAACCACATGACAGTAACAAAAATAAATGTTATAATCCTTTAACTCTATCTTTACATATCAAAAAGGAAATTACTCTAAAACACCATATCAAAATTAATTACAATTTTTATTCATTGGTTCCGGTGCAGATTTTTTTTTGTTAATATAAGTTTTGCTCCATAAAATTTAAGTTCATCTCGGTTTTGATCCTTTAAATTTCAAATCAATTTTTTTTTCTGAAGTTAATTTAGTTTGTTTTAAAACATCAGTTTGTGAAGATATAACAGTGTTAAAATCTATTCAAGTGTCTTACATGATGCTAAAATAGTGATATAGACTCATCAGATGATATGTATCTGAATCTTGTATGCATAAGAGAGAATAATGAAAAGAATAAATCCTTAAAACGCAGTTGCTTAATCTTTGTTTTTTTTTTTTCCTTTCATTGTTCATTTCAAGATTTGTTTACTGTATTTTGAAAACTCATTCCTCTTTATACAATTGTTATTTGTGTTGCGTTTTGAAGACCTATTTTTCTTCCTGTTATTTAGTCCACATAAAATCCAATTAAGTGTCATTTGGTAACATCGTTTGTGAAGTTTCAGACTTTAATGCTGTTACATCTCTATAAATTAATGTTTAAGACAAACTAAATTCATATGTTTGAAATTTGAGAAACCAAAATTAAAATGAATCCAAATAATAATGACAAAACATTATATTAACTTTTTTTTAGATTAAGGTGTATTTAGCACCCAAAATATTTTCTTGAATGCATCTAGAATCTTAAAATATTTTGTTGTGCATCCAACATTTTATAGTATTTTTTAAGTGCATCTAATATCTCGAAATATTTTTTTTTTTTGCTTTGATGTGGGATGCATGAAAAAATATTTTAGGATACTGAAAGCACTTTAAAAGAAAAATACTCCTTTGATCCATAATATATGACTTAATCTTGGAGTTAATTTTGGTCCTAAATATAAAACTTATTTATTATATTTATTAATTTTTCTCAAATCACTCCTCTTAATACTTCCTTAACTATAATTAAGTAGAAAAGGAAGGGAGGATATAAATAAAATGATTAAAGTATTTTAGAAAAAATATGTCATATTTATTATACTATCTCCTGTCCTAATTATAAAATTTAGTTTATAAACTACAAATAAAATCTTATAATTATGATCGGAAGTAGTATTTAACTAACTTATCTAACTTTTTAAATAAAATTAAATTAGATAAATAAATTTTATATTAAAAACTGAAGAAATACTTTAAATTGTTGGATGTAGTAGAAAATACTTTGAGTCACTCAAAAAAATATTTGAAGTTGCTGGGTATATCACAAGGTAATTTAGGAGGATGCTGTACGTGCCATGTACCAGAGAGAATATTTTTGGCTTAGATCCAATTTCACCTCTTTTTTTGTGAGAGGTTCGGGTGCGACTTCCCCCCCCCCCCCCCCGATCGCTATGAGATAGGTTTTATCCGATACCACATTAGGGTTCTTCTTCAAATTGAAATTGTTGAGCCTCACCTAAGAATCAACGATGGAAACGCTGTCGTCGTTATGTCTCGGTTCGAGTGTGTAATGTTGTTGACGCTTTAGGGAAGTGCCCCCAAAAGGGCTTCAAAATTTGACAGATTCAGAATTGGCGAGGGTTAAGTGAAGGATTAACGGGAGTCGGGTGAGTTTATCGTCTTCGTTATGCTTAACTTTGTCACCGCGCGATTATCTGCCTCACAAACATGCCAGAGGAGGGCTCAACTAGGATTTCTCCTCTTCAGTGCTTCCCACATTTTCCATTCTTTTTCTTCTGTTGTGAAATCATCTAAACCGGATAAAAAAATAGAAGGAAATGAATCCTTTACAGTTTCTTATCTCATAAACTCTTGTGGCATGTCTGCCAAAGCGGCTATTGAAGTTTCCAAAAGGATTCATTTGAAATCCCCTTGTAAGCCGGATTCCGTTCTTAATCTTTTCCGTGGCTACGGATTCTCTGATTCACAGATATCCAAAATTGTGAAACTTAGTCCTGTTGTGCTTTCAGCTAATCCCGAGAAGACCATTTTGCCTAAGCTAAAGTATTTCCAGTCTTTAGGGTTTTCATGTTCGGAGCTCCCAGGACTTCTCATGTCTCACTCTGTAATCCTGGACTGGAGCTTAAAGAATCGTTTAATTCCCTTTTGTGAGGCCCTTAAGAGTGTTCTTAATGACGACGAGAAAGTGAGAATAGCTTTAAGACGGTCAAGATGGTTTCTAATCTACTGGGAGGTAAACAATTTAGCTCCAAACATGAAGGTTTTGACAGATCTTGGAGTTCCTCGATCTTCTATTTGTGCGCTGTTAACTGCATTGCCAAATGTAGCATTTATGAATCCTGCCAAATTTGTTGAATGCGTCAAGTTTGCTAATGAAGCAGGAATCGACCCTTCTAAGGTCGTGTTCATTCAAGCTATCATTGTTTTAGCACAGGTAAAGAAATCAAGCTGGGAGTCAAAACTGGATTTGTTCGAGAGGTTTGGCTGGTCCAGGAATGTCACTCTATCAGCATTCAGTAAGTTTCCACATTGCATGCTTCTGTCAGAAGAAAATCTCACAAGCAAAATGAAGTTTCTTGTGGATGAAATGGGTTGTTCATTGGAAGATATAGCCGGATGCCCAACAATTCTTAGCTATAGCTTGAAGCGGATTATTCCGAGATGGTCAGTTATTAAAATTTTGAAAATCAACGGCTTGGCTGCAGATGATAAATGGTCTTTACCTTACATTATCATTGTAAGTGAGAAGAATTTTCGGGAGAAATTTGTGATCAGATTTCAGGAAATTGTTCCCCAGCTGCCGAAAATCTATAAAGATGAACTCAGAGCTTTATCTCAGGTCCAAAAGGAAAAAAAGCAACAACTCTGAGCTCTATCTGAATGTCAATCCTAGGCAGTTACTTGCAGTGTATGATTGTAAATTTTTGACCTTGTGATTTATTATGATAACTGTTCTGCTTTAGTTCTTACTCTGTGTATTTTTTTCTCATGTTATGGTATCTTAATTTGATCTTTTAAACTGTAGACAATGTTTTTAGTCCTTTTACCCATATGGATTATTCTTTTTATCATAAATCATGAGCAAGTATTCTTATTAAATGTCTATATAGCAATAACTTTTACAGGCATCTCTGTTGTAGTGCTCTATGTTGAGGCTAAAGGTGCCTATCTCATTAGTAAGTGTAAACATACGCTGAGAAAATTTGCTTTCAAATTAACCTGTTGAAGTTGGATTAATTGTTTTTTTATTGAACTTTTCGTTCTCTTAAAGTGATTGTGAATGAGAAAAAGGAGAAAAAAGTGAAGCAGTGACTGGTGAGTGTTGAGAAGATAGCATTGTTGTGGTTCTATTACCTTTACTAGGAATTTGGTTAGCTTCCATAGGTCCGTGATTATGTTTTATCTGCTATTCCTCATTTAAGAAGATGATGAAGTTTTGGAGCCTCCCCTTTTGATGCTGAAGGTGCCTTATCCCGATAATAAGCGAAGGGAAAAGTAGGACTGACAAAATTTGTTTCAACTTATTGAAGTTGGATTGAATATCTATAATGATTTCTGGATAACTAGATGTGAGTCCGATGTATTGTGGGGCTTAATGAGGTAAGCCGCATTGTTCAATAATGCTACTCTCTACGAATTTGATACATATACATACTTATATATTGATTTTTCATTCTCACAAGTGCTTGTGAAGAAGAAAAAGGAGATATGGGAAAGCAATGGACATTGAGAAGATAATATTGCAGTACTCCTCTATGAATAAGTCTTACATTTAGGAATGGAGGGAGTATTAATATTATCAATCTTTGGAATTTGGCTGGCTTCAATAAGTTCCTAATTTTGTTTTGTCTGCTTTTCTTTCTGTAAGCATAGTTAATTTTGGAGCCACCATCAGTTGATTATAATTTATCTAGCCTTTTAACGTAGAGTTTTGAGTGGCTGTTTCAGAATGACTGGGTTAGGAAGTTATGATCTTTTAAGCTTTTTAAATTTTAAATTTAAATAATAATATTGGTACATTAAGATAATTGTTAAATACATTACAAAATCAATAGAGTAGTGCATGAAATATGATAGTGTTTAAAATACAATAAGCTACCTTATGGGTTTTGGACCACTTATCATTATGAAAACTGTTTGTTTTCCGTTTTGTAGAATAAAAGGTGCAAAATTTAACCATTTTAATGCGTAACTAGAAATGAATTTTTAAATAAGTTTTTTTATTTTTCAAAATAAAACATTATTCAAAAAACAGTACGTTATGCAAGTTCTTTACTTTTTGGTCTTCTATTTTATTTTCCTAAAAATAATAATCTAACATTAATAAAATGATCGAATATATTAATAAAACATTAGCACAACATAAAAGGAGTACATCATAAGTTAATCTTATGCACTAGACATCAAATTGTACTAAACTTGAAAATCTTTAGACTTAGCTACCACAATCGCCCTAACTGACAGCCAGATTAAAAACACAAACACTCTCCCTAGGAAAAAAAACACAAACACTTCAACAATATTGATGATCCATCAGCAGAACATGAGCTAGTATTATACTTTCTGAAATATCCTGGTACTGTTGCGCCAGAAATTGTGAGGTTTATCAACGGGAAGGTGATAGAAAAGCTTCTCCCACTAACTTCATTCATAATGGAAAACCGGCTTCTACCCGAAAAATGAGTTTGGAAGAAATGGGTAAAAGGCCCACTTTGAGTTGGAAAATCCATAAATCACGTCAACCGTCGTCATATTTGGAAATTCCATCAGGTAACATTAATGTACATATTGTGTGTGCGCGCGCGCGCGCCTGTGTGTGTGTGTGTGTGTGTGTGTGTGTGTGTGTGTGTGTGTGTGTGAGGGAGGGAGGGAGCGACGAATTCGAGGGTTTCTTCTGCGTCGGTGGTGATCGGAGCTGACGTCTTGCATTGTGGGAGTTTTTCAAGCCCCTTCATTTATTCGCTCGCTCATTGATGCTTACTTATCTCATTGCCAGATTTTCTTCACTCTCCCGCGAGAGGAGGACCCACCTTGTTTCCCTTCATCAAAATGCCTCGCAGATTCTTAATTCCTTTTCTTCAGTTTCGAAATTCTCCGAATCAAATCAGCGGAAAGGAAAATCAGGAGAAACTAAAACTTGCACTGTTTCTTATCTTATAGACTCACTGGGTATGTCCTCCGAAGTAGCTATCAAAGTATCCAAAGGGGTTAAAATAGAAGGCCCTGATAGATCCAACTCGGTACTTAATCTTTTTAGGAGTTACGGATTCTCAGATTCCCAGATCTCTAAGGGTGTGTTTGGATGACTTCAAACCGTGGTTTGGAAAAGTGATTCTGGAGAATAGATTCTGTGGAGAATAGATTCTGAGAAAAAGTGATTCTGAGAAGTGAGAGTGTTTGGATAGTTATTACCAGAAGTGCTTTTGACATGTGGAAATGACCAAAAAGGGTATAAGTTAATATGATAATTATATAATGGATAGATTTTATGATTTATTTTGATTTGAAGAAATAAAATTGTTAATGAAATAATTTTTACTAACATAATTAATAATATATAAGATAATATAATTAATACATAATTAATATGTGTACATATATTTATAAAACATAATATTAAATATGTTTATAGAAAAATGGTTTTTTTATAACAGAAAAATATTAATTTTGTTTAAAGATTGTAAACGTGAAATCCCATAACATTTTTTCATAACTACTTTTTGTAATAACATACTACATGTATAATAACCTCTGATGTTTAATACAATTAATTAATTAATTGTCACCACACATATATATTCATAAAATATAAGAGTGAAAAATATTTTTAGAGAAGATGAATTATTTTGTTGCAAAATAGAATAAACACGTCTTAAAATAATTTATTAATTATTCAAGTAAGTAATAATTAGCTTGAGAATATAAGGCATAATATTAATAAGAGAAATATAAATAAAGAAGTGTCATAATCATTAAGATGATGCATCGATACAAAGCATTTGTAATAGGTTTTGTTTTTAACTACATATTACAATCTATGATAAAAGGAAATAAATAAGACATGACTACTATCCTCGTATTGAATTAACAAGTTCGTCTCTTATGCTGGCACGAACCTGAGCCATGTAAGATGAAGATTGAATTGATGAATGTATACGTGAAAATCTAACCCCATCATCATCATCTTCTGCATAAGTACCTTCTTCTTCCAACTGAACGAATCCAGGATCAGTAATAGATGTCGCTCTAATAAAATTATGTATAGCCATCGTTGCACAAACGATTTTAACTTGTGTTTCAAAATCATAAGATGGCATGTTTTGTAAGATTGCGAACTTTTTTTTCCAAACTCCGAAAGTTCTTTCAATTGTACTCCTTAAACTTGAATGGAAATAATTAAAGATTTCATTGTCATTTTCAAACCCAGATGTCCTTCGAAAATCAGGCAAATGGTAACGCTCCCGTCTGTATGGGCCGAGATATCCATTCGGTGTTGGGTATCCAGCATCCACCAAATAATATTTTCCTATATAAAAAATGAAATTATTGTAAATTATGTTTCTATTGTTAAGCTAAATATAAAAAAAATATAGGAAATAAAAAAATACCTTCAGGTGGATGGGGAAAGTTCATTGAAGGAGTTGTGAGGGCATGATCAAATATCCGAGCATCATGTGCGCTACCTTCCCATCCGGCCAAGACAAAAGTAAAACACATGTCCCAATCACAAACCGCCATGACATTTTGTGACACTGTTCCTTTCCTAGAGATAAATTTAGTTTGATCTGTTGCACTGACAACGCAGGAAACATGTGTGCCATCAATTGCTCCAATAGCATGTTTAAAAAAAGGCCAGTATTTACCAAACCGAATTTTTGTATGAACATGCCGGAATGTTGGATCTTTTGGTTTGATATTAGACATGGCAAGTCTACAACATGCCATTAGGACATTATGAAAATGTCTGCTAATTGTCTCCCCTGAATGTTGAAATCTTTCTTGCTGCATTCTGCTACTAAGTGCATGCCCAACGGTATGTAAAAACATTGCAACTGATTCATGTATCCCTATATTTTTAGTTTCTTTTAGACCATGTTGTTGCAATTGTTCCACCAGACTTAAGAACACATCCCGTTCCATCCTAAACATGTTATAACAACGACTGGAGTTGCCATCTAAAACATCCCTTACCCATATGCAGCCTGTATAAGCACTTGTATGCCGAGGCTCCTTACACAAGTTCAAAGTAGCGTATGCACCAACCATGCTGCAACTTTGTTAACTCTTTTTTTCCGTCCCTTAGCATGCTCTTCCACATGTTTAATTTCATCATCCATATTCGTTTTATCCTGTGCACATACACATAAAGTTTAGAATTCCTACGTAGAAATTACGAAACATTTATAAAAGTTACAGAGTTGTTTGATTCATATAACAATCCACTGGTCACATAAAACATACACATATGGAACTGTCTAATATAATAAACAAGTCATAAATCCCTAGTAAAATGCTCTAAAATGGGTAGAAGCTGTTCCTTCTGATCCTTCAGAGCTGCATACATTTCTCGTGCATCCTGCCGTTCCATAAGGAGTTGTGTGCACCGTCTAAAGAAATCAGGATCACTGACAACTTCAGGAACTGTTTTCAGGTGAGACAGGACTCCCCTAATTGAAACCTCATAAGCACGCGCTTCTTCTTCCAACCTTCTAGCTTCTGCTCGTGAAATGACCTCATTTCCACGCTCGGCCTCAGAAATATTTGTTTCAGCAATCTTGCTAATTGCATCCGCTATTTTCATAGAGGGAGATGTGCGTTTCTTCTTGACTTCACTCTTCCTTCTGACCCCCAGTGAGCTTCTAGGTCGACTCCTACCTCTGCTTGTACCCCCACCACTGGTATCCTGTCTCAATTCAGTGTTGCCTCCACTACCTCCACTATTATCATTGAAGTTCACTGTGTTAAATTCCCCACTTATACCAGTTGGTGCACCTAAAATTTCATCACTATCTCCGGACCCTTTTCCAAATCTTCATTCGGTGTTCCTTCACTTGGAAGTGTCATGGAAGAAGGTGCCCATGCTTGTGGTCCAGTTGCAGCCACACTTCCAAATAGTTGCGTCAATTCATCCCTAAATTGAAGTCCTCTTTCTCTGAATTTTTCGTAGTTTGGAACTTCCTGCACATTAGACACCAATAATATCATAAAATATTCCAAAAACAGTAAATATACACAAAACATTAACAAGTAGAGAAAATGTAAGATCAAAAGGTTCAATAATTACCCTTATTTTTCTCTCCCACCAATCATCAGTTGCACTGACAGTATTCCTTTCAGTATCCCATCCCAATCCTGTCTCACGAAGCAGCCTATCCCATGTCTGCCACTCCTTTCGTAGGGAATCATATTTATTCTTAAATTGACCTTTTTCATACACTCTTCCAGTTTTGGCAGTAAAGTTATCACCAAGAATATCCCAAGCTTTCTTTGTTAAGCTAGTATCTTTTCTTTCCCCTTGTTGCACAAGTTCAATGCAGAGGTCAATAAACACTTTTGTGGTTCGTAGGTCCCAGGAAGCTTTCATCGTATTCTTACGCATTATGCTATAGCACAATTATAACTCTTCAGTCATCCCAGGTTAATCAACTCAAAATCAATTGAAATAACAAAAATCATATTGTCTACTGTAATAGGTGAAAAAGTTGATCACATTTTAAATCTCAATTCCTTCCTACCAAACCAAGTGTGACAAAAATTAACAAACACAAAAAATTTCTAATTTTACATGGTTGGAAAAAATACACCCCCTCCTTTCTAAACTTCATTATCTGTTTTTACTTCAAAATACTAAAAATTTTAAAACGTCCAAAATAACATGTTAATTAAATAACATTATAAAGCACATTATTGTTTTTAAAAAATAACATGTTGCACAAGCCTTTCATAATATTTTTTAAAAATTATATCCTTATCAGATTTGTCAACCGAAAATAAAAAAAACTACCAACATAAACCTCTGACCAAAATACAAATCACTTCCTTCAATATATATACATGGATTTCAGTTGTGATTTCATTTTTCCTCACTCTCAAAAGTTGGCCATAAATTTATCAAAATCCTTAATACAACAATACAGAACAATACAATTCTTATCTCATCCCAAATCAGATCAACTCTTAACAAATAATGTTCATTATCACAAGTACTATCCACGGCAAAAAAAAAAAAAACCAAAGTCTCGACTTCACAGCTTCTTCTCCGGGGGAAATCTGGACTACAGCAGGAAAAACAAATTGCATTGAATTTATATAACAATTGCCAACTTTCTCATCCATATACGTCCCCTGCCTCCAGAACCAGACATTGATTACCATAATTTGTTCCCTCTTTGTTTCATAAAATCAGAACCAATTTACCAAACGAACATACCATTTATAATCCCCAGCACATGAAGCTCAATTAAAGAAATCCAAAAACACGATAAACCCCGAAACAATCCATGGCAAAAACGAACAAGATCTTCGGCAATAACCATTGATCAAAATCTGCCGAATGACGCAAAGGAAGACCAAGGAATATCCAGACAACAATTATACATCGCTTGGATCCACTAGGCATACAAAGCTGAAATCGAAGGCCACGGTTCAAAAATAGAACCGAGAGGAAGCTTGCAATTGAAGAGGATATACAGCCAAATCATTCCAATTCAACATACCACAGTCAAAATACTAATAGCCACGGTTGAAAAAAAATTCATATCACTTCCGGATGACAGACCGAAAACAGAGGAGGGACCGAATCAGAACCACCGAACCAGAATCATAAGCAAGAAGCTGATAGATCAATGAATGGAGGAAATACGAACAAAATTTTGGGCAATCACCAGAGAGAGCTCACCGGGCGAACTGAAGAACGAAGATTGGAGACAGAGGATGGATGGATCGGAGCTTCCTTTGGTTTTGGCGAGCCGAGAAACGCACGACCACCCCTATTTTCGCGAGGCCAGGACGATCTCACCGGTGTCGAGTTTCAGAGCAGCGACGGCGAACACTCGAGCTGGCGAAGAGGCAAGCTGGCGATGAAGCACGGCCGAAGACGCGACTCGATGATGAAGCAGCGAAGAGACGAGCTGATGATAAGGGCCGAAGGGTCGAGCTTCGAGCTGAGTCCGATCGTTCGGCGAAGAGGAGGAGTGTCGGCCAGCGAAGAAGAGAAGGATCTGGGAAATTGCCTACCGGAGCCGTTGCTGAGGGTCGACCTTGAGCTGAGAGCAATGGTCGAGCTGAGGAGCAAGCTAATAACACGATGAAGAGAAGAGTGTCGGCCAGCGAAGAGAAGAGAAGGATGTCTGAATTCAAGAGGAGTGTCGGCCAGCTCGAGAAGGTCTGGGGTGTTTTTGGAATCACCAGTAGGCGTGCCCGATTTTTTCCCACAAGCGACAATTTTCAGCTTCTGGTGAAACCACGGGTGAAACCATGGTTTCAGATGAAACCAAGGTTTGCAATTTTTTGGGGCTTGTTTGGGTAGCATTTTCCCCAAACCATGGTTTGGGCCCCCAAACCATGGTTTGGGGTGCTACCCAAACAGGCCCTAAGGTTGTGGAGAAGTATCCGCGAGTCCTTTTGACAAAACCTGAGGTGACACTTTCGCCGAAGCTGAGGTTTTTCCGGTCTATAGGGTTTTCATATCCTGAACTGCCACAACTCATCACATATAACTCTGCACTCTTAGTTTTGAGCTTAAAGAAAAGTATCATTCCCCGATATGAAGCCCTTAAGAGCGTACTTGGAGATGATGCGAAAGCAACTATAGCTTTTAAACGCTGGGGTTGGTGCCACAAGGACGTAAACAATTTACCGTCGAACATAAGAGTTTTGAGGGAACACGGAGTGCCTCAGTCTTCTGTCTCTCAACTGGTTACTCATTTTGCAAGAGCTGTGATTATAAAGCCGGCAAAGTTTGTTGAACATGTCAAGTTTGCTAAGGAGATAGGAATCCAGCCAACTAAGGTTGCGTTCGTCCATGCAATTTTTGTCTTAGCAATGACAAATAAATTGACCTGGGAGTCAAAGCTGGATATCTATGAAAGGTGCGGCTGGTCAAGGGATGCCACTCTGTCAGCATTCAGTAAGTTTCCACATTGCATGCTGCTGTCAGAGGATAAAATCACAAGCAAAATGAAGTTTTTCGTGGATGAAATGGGTTTGTCTTTGGAAGATATAGTTAATTGCCCAACAATTCTTGGCTATCGCTTGAAGCAAAGGATTATTCCTAGATTCTCAGTAATTAAAATTTTGAAAACTAATGGTTTGATGAAACGTGATAGGTCCTTACGTTCCATTATCATCTTAAGTGAAAAGAAGTTTTTGGAAAAGTTTGTAATCAGATTTCAGGAAAGTGTTCCTGAGCTGTTGGACATTTATAAAAGTGGTTCTTGAAGTTCAGTCCTTAATGGTTTGTGGCATGATATGATTGTGCCTCTTGACTCTCAACTTTACTATAACTTCTCAACTGTTCTGCTTCAAATCTTACTCTGATTGATTGGTCTGTATTCTAGTAAGTAGTACCTATGAACTTGTACTTGTAGGATATCCCATGTGGAGGTTATCTATCAGCTTTTTTCCCCCCATCATAATTGTACAACAATTCTTCTCGTTAGATATGTCAAATGGTAGTACCGTAGGAGCTTTTACTGATATTTCTATTCAAGTTGTTATTTTGGGTCGCCAAGTGTTGTATGCAAATCATTGAAGTTGAAGGTGCCTGCTTCCTAATTTTGTTCCAAAAGAAGGGCATACATCCACTACAAGTATTGACAATGGGATGAACACAATCCATTATTAGTTAAAGAGAAGGCTATTTACCACAATTTTTGTGGCTGCGTATTCAGTTCTTGTATTTCTATGCCTTTTGTTGATACTAGGAATCTCTGTTTCGGTACAAGATGAAATCAGACGAGTGATCATTGCCTAGTTCCTGATATTTAATCAGTTTAACTAGTCTCTTACGGTTATCATGTTATGCACTTTCATGTTTGTTGGGTTAGTTTAGCAGCCTTTGAGGATTGCTCATTTAAATTTGTAGGAAGCTGTGAATTCCTAGGGATCAGATGTAAACTCTTAATTTTGCGTTTCTTTTTCATAAAAAAGGATATGTATATCTTTTGAGTTTGAGTACACTTGGATGCACTTTAGGAGATATTTTGTGATTGGCTGTCTGGATCTGACTGCAGTGAGATGCTACATAGGGGTTGGGTCCTTTGAAGTGCTTGTCTTCTCCTCCACCTCCTCTGGCTTGTAATCATGCTTAAGGAGAGTTCTATGTGTATTATCAATCCATCAGTAGTAGTTAGAAGTGGTGTGTGTTAAGAATGAATGGGCATTTAGTTTCTGTTAATCTCATGCATATTTAGTTAAGATGTATTTAGGTTTTTTTATGTTTTCTTGTTGTCTGTAAGCTACGTGGTGCTCTATTGGAGTCTGTTTAAGTTTGTGGCATGAAATGATGCATGTGAAGGCGAGTTTTCTTTCATTTTCTTATGCTTGTCAAACTCGGGATTGTTGGGAATGGCTCTAACGCAGCCTTTAAAGCTGATCCTTATATTTCTCTCTTATTTGCTTGTTTTTTTCTTGAGGAAGAAAGGGCAACACCAGTTATTATCATAGTAGAGAATTGGAGACACAGGGCAGGGATTATATGGGTCTTTTATAAGCTTCAACTGCGGCATGATCTCTGCAGGTGTAGTTTTGACCATGAGAATGGCAGATTGTTGTTAAAATCTTGATTTTTGGTATCTTGCCAAAGGAGGACCACGCAAGAATCAATAATATTGTACTCTCTGTTTCTTATTATTTTTCTGTAGAACCATGGATGGTGTTATCATTTGAAATTTGGCTGCTTCTAAGATTTTGCTCTTGGTGAGTAAATTGAGATGAGGTTGTTTACAGACAATCAATTTTATGGGTCTGGATTTGAATACTTTTTCTTGTAAAAGTGTATGTTTGTCAATCTGAAACTTTCATAAAATTTAATAATTTGAGGAAAATATTAAAATTAAAATTATAAAAACAAGAGTTAATATATTATTAAAAGATATTTATAAATAATAAAAAATATATATACACGTGATACATAGATGTATTTAATAAGATATATAAATTTAATACTATAAAGTTTAAAAAAATATACCAATTATTTGTAAATGAAAAATGAAAAGCCAAAAGTGACTGAAAATGGAGGTGAACAATCTTACGCGTTTTTTTTTTTTTAATATTTTTTTGATAAAAAGGCAATGTTATTCAACATAAGTAAAGTGATTTTTGGATAACATTGAGCTCAAAAGACTTTCAAATACTCATGGTACGGTTTATTTATGGATATTAGAGTGATTAACAGAGTTTGGTCTAATGAAAGAAATTAGTCTTTGACAACGTGGCAAACTAATATTTAAATTCTTGATGAAAAATGTGTTTATATTTAGTCCTTAATAGTGTTTCAAATAGAATTGTTTCTAATAAAAGAATACTTATGCATGGTTAAAAAAATGAGGGTAAAAATAACTTTTAGACTTTTGTAATTTTAGTCTCACTTATTTGAATGAGATTTAGATCCCTTCAATTTAAAAAAAAAAAAAAAACCCTCAAAGATATCGGAATTCCATTTTGTTGAAAAAATTGTAACTCCTTCCTCATTGACATTAAATTATGATCAGATTGTTAGTATTTTTAATTGGTATCAACTAAGAGAGTCTCAAATATAATGTACTTGTTGGGATGTTTTAGTGGTTTAAAATATAGGCCAATCTTTGGATAGTTAAATCCCATTTTTTTTCCCTCTAAAATGATCCTTGCTGTTTATCACAGTATAAGACAGAAATTTAGGATTCATAAAGATAAATGTTAACCATTAATTAATGACTCCATTTTTTGTCAAACAAAATCCAAAATGCATGACACAATCAACAGAAAATTTCAGACTCAATGAAGTTTCTTGTAGATGAAATGAGTTTGCCACTCGAATAAATAGCAAAATACCCAGCACTTGGCTATAGCTTGAAGCACCGGATTATTCCAAGGCATTCAGTATTTACTATTTATAACTTTGAAAATGAATGGTCAGTTAAAGTAAAATATGCCACTAATCCACCGTAAGTCATTGATTAAGATAGTAAGTGGTCTTACTTTTGTAAGGAAAAAAAATATAAATTTGAATCCCCAGAAACACATTTGTTGATAGAGTTTTAATTTTAACTCTCCCAATACGATAAAAATTAGTTTAAAATGACTTGAGAAAGACTTTGAATTTATGCAAAATAAAATATGCCCCCAATTCGGCAAGACCCATTTCTTGTAACGAGTGAAGGGAAAAAAAAGGTTTCCAGAGAAATCTGACATGAAATTAAAAGTAAAGCCAACAAAAACTAACTGAAAATGATTGGATACAAATTTATTAAATACATTTATAAAGATATAATATATTTTATAAAGAGAAAAAGGCAATGAAATATATTTCTTCTCTCTCACCAAATTTTGAATTTGAATGTTACAAGTAACTTAAATTTTTCATATTTTGGAAAGAAATATAGTTTTATTTTGCATTTTTCTACTCTCTTGCCCAACAACTTGACAACATATTCATACTATTACTGAATTGAAATTTTTTAATAATTATTTTTTTTCCTTAAACCCTCATAATAATTCTCTAGAAAAACATTTTCTCTCACTTATAAACAAGGCAAGAGGAGTATTTAAATAAAAGAAGCCACGGCATTTTTTAAAATAATTTTTATATAATTTAATTTGGATTATTTTTTTTGTTTTTGTTAAAGTATAGATATTCTTCTATTTGAGACAATTCTATTTGAGACATCATCGAACATTAAATTTAGATTATATTTTAATTGAAATTATAAATTTACTTTGGCTCCCCTTGCCTTTTGTTTTAGACCAAGAAAAAAAACCAAACCAAACCTGCCAGTTTAATAAGAAAACCCGTAAACTGGTCTGATTTAATTGTTGGACAAGAGGTCTACTGAACCGGTAAAAAACCAGTTTATCCAGTTAAACCGGTATTAAACTAGGTAATCCGGTTCGGTGGGTTGTCCGGTTTTTTTTTTGGCCTGCCACAACGCTCAAAACGATGCCGTTTTATTTAGGGGGTGAAAAAAAACCTTCTTCAGTTTTGGTTCTCACCATTCGGCTTGCCTGGTTTAATGGTTCACCGTGGAGTCCCCTAATCCCTACTTCCCTCCCCTGATTCCCCTCTGCTCGCGCAGCTGTCCTCCCCCCCGAAACCAAAATCGCGATCGCCTCCTCCAAAATCCCTGCTCCCTAGCGTAGCTGACGGCACGGTGTACGGCAGAGCTCCTTGTTCGGTCGTTCCCTGCTTCGCCTTCGCCACCAGTCGTTGCAAGCCTGAGTCTCCCTCAACGTCATCAGTCACCACCTCCTGCTTCGCCTTCGCCACTCGCATTGCAGAAGGTAGAACCGAAAGTCTAAGGCTCTGAGCTCTCTCGCCACTCGCATTCGCAGTTCGCAGAAGGCAGAATCGAAAGTCGCAGGTCTCCCTCAAATCCCAGTCAACATTGTCCCTTTGCCCTTCGGTGCATTGAGTTTTGGGTAAGCTCGAAACTGTTCCCTTTCAGGTAGTTTGACAGTGTCTGACAGTCCTGATATATGTTTTTTCCCCCCCCTGGTTAAATCCTCTATTGGATTTATGATTCAGCTATTCTGATTTAAGTTTTATGAGTTTCTTATTGTGTTGTGAATTTGTTATTATGACAATGAGTATTCCCTGATTGCATCATCATGATCTTTAATTTTATCTGCAATTCAAAGACGAAGTTGGATTTTATGCTTCAGTATATATAATGCCGTTTCCGTTTACTTTGGCCATTTGTAGTTTATAAAAAAAAAATGCAGTCATTCTAAGGATTTCCAAGTAGTTAAGCTGCAGATAAATTAAGTTGGTATCAATAATTTCACTTGATCCTATCTCTTTTCTCATGTCTGGATTTATTCATTTTATTATATATGTTCACTTTATGTTGACAAGTAGTAATATATTTAGTGTTGCATTGCTGTTTTCTTTTTTTCCCCCTCTTCAAGTCTGATCAGATTTTCTGTTTAAAGGAGATGAAAGTTGAAGCTGGATTAAACTTTCATATGTAAAAAGCCCTATAAACGCCTATATCTTATTGTATTGATCGGATAGGTATGAGTCTATATATTCCTTAAATGTTGATTATTTCACTCATTATGTTGGAGTCAAGGAGCTGGCCCGTTAGGGCCAGAGGCTGGCTCGAATTGGACTGCTTTTCCTTAAAAAAAAAAAAAAAACCGTATTTTGTTAGATGTATTAATTGAAAATGGTTTGATACTTTGTTGGAGAGAGCTAATCTCTTTCAATCTGTGTGAAGCTTGTAATGTATTGCTTTAATTGTTTCAGTGTTGTGGATTTATGAAATGAGCTTGAATTGCAAAATTTATGAATTATGTATTTTGAATGTTTTCTTTCTCAATCTGCTGTGCATATCCATGAAACAGCAAGTTGCCTTCTTTGGAGAGCACCAAACCCCATGTCAACTTTGAAAGAAATCCTTGCACGGCGACCTGTGGCGGCCACCATCAGGCTGACTGTGCCGGCTGGAGGGGCACGACCTGCACCACCTGTGGGTCCAGCATTGGGTCAGTATAGGCTCAACTTAATGGCCTTCTGCAAGGATTTCAATGCACGAACACAGAAGTACAAGCCAGACACACCCATGGCAGTGACAATCACGGCCTTCAAGGATAACACTTTTGAATTCACCGTCAAATCTCCCTCTGTGACTTGGTATCTCAAGAAAGCAGCTGGAATCGAATCCGGCAGCAGCCGCCCAGGCCACATGGTGGCTTCTACACTCTCTCTAAAGCACATCTATGAGATCGCCAAGATTAAACAGTCTGATCCTTATTGCCAATACATGTCTCTTGAATCTATTTCCAAGTCCATCATTGGCACTGCTAATACAATGGGAATTAAGATTGTTAAGGAACTAGATTGATTCCTCGATAGCTGTTTTCCCTCTATCCTTGGGTTTGAGGCATCCCCTTTCTCACACTGGAATGATAGCAGTGGTTGTATTCCCTCCTCTGTTGGAACTTGAGAGAAATGAGAATGGGATTTTGCACTGGAATTCAGTTCAAGACAATGTTTTACTTGTATGCATAGCAAACGTGCTAGGAATAACAAGTTGAAATGGCGCTTCTTTTGCTGCTGAGTGCTGAGTGTTTCATTTTTGGTTTTTAGTAGTCATTGAATATTCATTGAGCACTGATTAAAAATGAAGCACAAGCTTTTCAAAATTTACACTCAGGAGACATATTGGTGAATCTTGGAGGTTTCAGTTTCTACAGTTTTTTATTTATCTCTGTTTTGGCTATGAGAAGGTGGATGCTATGTTATTAAGACTTGGTGAAATGAGGATTGTGCAGGGAAAAATTTAGTCGCATGTAATAGTGTTGCAGTGCTTTAAGAAAAAGATTAACACAGGGAAATAAGAAAAAATAAATGTTTTCCTCATCCCTCCTTGCCAAACATGCTTGCATCTTTCAGTAGAGATAATACTTAAAGGGTGACACTTGTGGATGACATGGTGGACTATTTGTTTTATTGAATTTTTATACTTTATTTTCATAATTTAAATCCAGAACTAAAGATTTTTTTTTGGTGGTTTTTAGCTAGAGCACTCCTCTCAAAACGCCATCCATTCTAAATAGTATTAATTTCTTTACTGTCTAATCAAATTTTAGAGAGAAGGGTACTTTTGGTTTTAAAGCATCAGATAGATGATCCTTGTGCTTCAAATATATTATATGGACGTTAAATAAAATGTCATTGAAAACATTTAATTGTTTGTATTTTGGGTGAGACTGTAGAGGTAAAAGTCCATTTCTCCCTAAAATTATCTTATTTCTATAAAAATATTAAAATAAATAATAAATAAAATTAAAAATATCAAATATATGGATATTATCTAATTTACTCTTTGGCGTGCTCCTTCATTGTGGATTTGTGATTGTGAATGGAAAGCAGATCAGGAGCCACAATTTTATTTTGATGATCGGATTGAAACGCCGTCGTTGCATTTTGTCCTTTCTTTTTTGGACTCTTGGTTCCTCCCTTCATTTGTCTAATCGAAGAAGCCAAGCCCCTCGGACCTCAAAAGATCGCATAATGAAAATATGAAAGCAGAGAAATTTGGTAGTTCTACCGCGCGCGCGCCTGAGAAGTACGCAATCTGGGTGAGTTTCTCGTCATCAGTCATGCTTAATTTCCTGACTGCGAGATTTTCTGTGTTACCAACGTGCATTAGGAGGAACCGTATAGGTTTTCTGCGTCGCAAATTTTCCCGCATTTTCATTTCGTTTTCTTCAACTATGAAATCAACTGAATCTGCTCAACCAAAACAAAAGCAAGAAAGGAAATGAATCTTTTACTGTTTCTTATCTCATTAACTCATGTGGCTTGTCCCCCAAAGCTGCTATTCAAGCATCCAAAAAGATTACATTGAAAGACGCGGACAAACACAATATGGTGCTTGATCTTTTCAGGAGCTACGGGTTAACAGAAACCCAGATATCTAAATTAGTGAAACATTTGCCAAATTTGCTTTTCGCAAATCCTGGGACGATCATTCTGCCCAAGCTGAGGTTTTTTCCAGTCTTTTGGTTTTTCTGGTTCTAAGCTCCCAGAACTCATCTTTTCTAATCCTGGACTCCTATGCCGGAGTTTAAATAAATTCGTAATTCCCGTTTGAGGCCCTTAATAGCGTATGTAATGATGATAAGATTACACAAACAGCTATGAAACACTCTATCTCTCAGTGGAAATTTCACCACTATTATTTACAGGATTTTGTCGCAAACCTAAAGGTTTTAAGAGAACATTGAATGCCTCAATCTTCTGTCGCAATGATGGTAACTCGATATGCCAGCGTAGCAGTTACAAAGCATGCCAAGTTTGTTGAATGTGTCGAGTTTGCCAAGGGAGTAGGAATTGAACTCTCAAGGGCCACATTCATTATGGCGATTCACGTCATGTCGAGCTTGCAAAAATCAACATGAGAGTCGAAGCTGGGTATTTTCTAGAGGCGCGGCATGCGCAGAGATATCACTCTTGTAGCATTCAGTAACTCTCCAATTTGCATGATCATGACAGAGAAGAAAATCATTAACTCGATGAAGTTTTTACTGAATGAAATGCGTTTACCATTGAAAGATATAGCTAAATCTGCATCTCTTCCTGGCCATAGCTTGGAGGCGAGGATGATTCCTAGATGGGCATTGTATAGATTTTTGAGGACTAAGGGTTTGATAAAGAAAAATAGTCCCTCTGTTCCTAATATATTAGGTGAGAAAAAGTTTCTGGAGAAATTTGTGTTCCGTTCTGAGGAAAGTGTTCCTCAAATATTGAGCATCTATAAAGGTCAGTTAGGAACTTTACCTGAAGTCAGTCCCATGTAACGTGGCTTTTTATAATTATTCAACTGCTGTACTCGCCGCTTGATATCTTTTGGAAACCCAATTTGAACTCTGAATTCGCAGAATGTTGCTTTCTATTCGGTAACTCATCTGAAAGTCGTGCCACTCATTTTTCTTTTGATCATAGTTGTAAATAAGTCTTCCATTAAGATGTTTCATGGTCATGACATTTATGCTCATGTTATACTGAAATGGTCCTTTTTCCTTTTTTCTGTCCACCCAAAGTTATACTGAAATACTCTGGTTACATTGTTGGCTTTCTGTGGTTGTAGTCTTGTAGAAGAATGTCCTATGATATCTGTTTCGGACTACGTCAAAAGATAGAAGTCCATGAATATCAAAATAAATCATAAACTATATTTTTATTCTTCTTCTCAAATGCAAAGAGGAACTTCATCGGATAAAACTTTTCAAGTTGAGTACACCGTTCAACTGCACTGGAGGGTCCTTAAGCAATCAACAGTTATGTAAGTCATCTGTAATCTGCCCTCCAGAAGTTATGTAAATCAGAGGAATCCAGCTTGGAACCAAAGGCTGCAATTGACGGTGGAAGTGGATCATATGCTTCACTGAATGGTAGGAATTGAATCTTCTTGGGAAATTTACATTTCTTAATAGTTCATATTTCTGGCTTCTCTCTTTATCTTCAATCGTCTGTGATCAATTTGTTTTCAGGAAAGAAGGGTGATGTTATTATTGGATGTCATTTAATCAGGGATTACTCTGTACTTCTTTATATCAATGTTGAAGTGATAATAATGTTTCCAGATTTCTGACAGACCTGTTTATGCCTTCTTTTCTGAACTTGGACTTCTTCATGCAACTTCATAGGAACATGTTACAGTTAAGATTAGAGTAAAATTTGCTGTTCCCTAATCCTTTACTCCTCACTTCCATCCTGGGCCTTGCATGATATGGATTTCAATCCAATTGTTTACCATTTTGAAATTTTAATTGAATCTCTTTTAATTAATGTAATTTGATATGAAAATATAGATCTACACTGATGTGGTTTATTAGTAAAATCTATCTTTAATTTATGGTTACAAAAAGCTTTGTTTGTTCCATGAAGCTGGATATATAGTGAGTTATGGTTGATTGCTTGAGAGCCATAAACCTTCTCTTAGAATCTGACTTTATTTTAAATTACTCACATTTTCACTTTTCCCAGATTTTGAAAGAACATTGACATACAAGAGCATAGTGGAAAGGACCCAAAATTTGTTAATGTTCAATATGAAAAGTTTACCTTGTATAATCAATTAGATTAACAAGGGTTAAAGTATAAATTTGTTTTAGAAATTTTTACTCAGGAGCACTAGATATTTGGGAATTTTTTTTTTGGCAGCAAATTTGTCTTAGAAATTTAAAATCGTAGTCGCAATATTGCTTCCAATCATTAAAAAAAAACTTATATCGACTATTTAAATGGTGATGTTGATTGTTAACATTTTTAATGGCAGAGAATAATATTGCTATGGTTTTAAACTTTCATGGCAAATTAACTCTTTAAAAAAAACTTTCGGATAGCCAATATTCGTAAGTAAAAATTTCTAAGGCAAATTTGCACATTAACCCCATTAACAAAAGCTTATAAAGAATCAAATTAAATCAAGAGGAGTTTGGATTTCCCCTATAATGAGTTAAAAAATGTACTTTCACTTAAATTCTTCTTACATACTTATCTCATATTTCGTAAAATAACCTTTAAAAAGTTAATTCAAACATTTTGTAATTCTAAGACCCTTGAATACTCAAAAATTCATTTCTAAGCTTAATTCAAACTCAATTAACGAAAGCTCAAAAAGAATCAAATTAAATTAGGAGTTTGGATTTCCCCTATAATGAGTTAAAAAAAGTGTTTTCACCCAAATTCTTTTTATATACTTACCTCATATTTCGTAAAATAACTTTTAAAAAGTTAATTCAAACATTCTATAACTCGAAAACCCTTGAATTTCCAAAAATTCACTTCTAACCTTAATAGTCACTGTCCAATTTAAACTCCATATCTACTCATATACCAACTAATCTAATGTAGTCATTAATTACAATTCAATTTCTTATATCCATCAAAATTCCCAATTTCTCAAATTAGGATTCAAACATACGCACTTGTGAAATTAAGGGTTAATATAATTTTTGGTTATTCCTATTTTGGTTTTGGTCCCTCAAATTTCAAATAATAGGTTTTGGTCTTTTAAGTTTCTTTTTCTTTATAACATTGGTCTTTGTAATCTATTAAAAACCTAGATCATTTTGCCCTTTGATGGGCCAAAACTATAGTTTGAAACTTAGGGGATCAAAATCAAAATAAGAATAAACTTAATGGACTAAAGATTATATTAATCCTAAAATTAACCACTAAACTAAAAACCAAACCAATTAAATCTCAATTCAACCTCAAATAAACATATAACTAGATCAAATCCCATTTCAATCGGTAACATCATATTCTATCTATACTCAACAAACACTAACCCCAAATCCCAAAATCATGAGTTAGGGCCAATGTCAGCTCAAATTGCTACAACAACCACTAGATGAATAATACTCCAGCCTAAAAGTATAGTCAAAGAGGGAAGAAAGTGGAAACCTCAAGCGACCCAAACCCTAGGAATCATCATTCACTATCATATCACCCCTCAAATAAGTGATCGGAAGTTCAAAACCTCCAAACATGCCTCCAAACTTTTAAAATAGTCGAACCCTCGTGGAGGAAGCCCTAACTCGGAGCTCAAATGTGTTCTTCAGTTTGTTTTTGCAAATCTCACTCATTTAATTCTGGCTTTTGCAAACAAAACCGCGGATGGTACAAGCGTCTTTCATCCCAATTTTGAATCTTATTGCTAATAATTTGGTATATTTGTATCATAAGTAATATGCAGATTACAAACAACCAACCAAACTAACTAATTAAACTGGAAAAAACCAATTGACACCAAGTCACCACGTCTAATTCGAATTAGAGTGGGAATTGAGAGGATTTTATAATTGTTTGACAATTAGTCAAACTGACCCCAAACAAATCAAGAGTAATAAATTCGTGATTTCATTGATGGAATCCATTATATCTTTTTTAATTTTTGAACATTTATAACCTAGGGTCTTTGCGTAAAGTAATAGTTAAACATATAAGAAATGTGTGTAAGTATTATAAAACATACATCGATTATAGATATCTTACACCTCATCATAATTATTTTATATTTATTTTCTGAATACTATTTTTTTATTTAAAATAATTGGGACACATTAAAAATATATTAATTTATTTACAATGGGCTTTGACCATTGTACTGTAAACCAATTTTTCGACAGATTCAATGACTACCTGGGTTTTTTAATGCCTCAGTAATATGGATACACAATAAGTTGGGGCTGAAATCCAAATGAGGATAACATCTTATCTTAGCTTGAATGAATAATGCTAAACACACAATTAAGTGGCTAATTAATTTCATGATCCATTTTATTATAGTTAAATTAAATGTAAACAGAAAATGAGCCACTAACTAATATATTGTGGGTCATTAAGCTAATAATATAGGAAGTGGTCAAAAAAAATTTCAGCAAATATAGGGCATTATTGTAGAGATTCAGATAGTTAGGTCTAAGTTTATGTAATTATTCCTTCCAAGAGACTGTGTTGAACTAGTAGAGTCATGAACGACTTGATCCTTTTCGTCTTCGTCGTCTTCTTCTTGTTCTTTCCCACTATGCACCATATTTACTGGAAACAGATGTGACTGATCAAAAGAGAGTGGGTAGTCACCAATGGAGCTGTGCCACTATTTTCTGTACTTGTCGTTGTATAAGGCTCCTGTAAATGAAAAAAGGGAATGAGAACATTCAGGAGGTTTTTGATGAATGAAACACTACATTCTGTCCTTAATAAAAGAGCTAGTTGACTGATTGAGTAAATTAAAAAACTAGTTAAATTAGTTATTTGTAATAAATAGGTTGTGTTTCTTAAAATATTCTTACTAATTAAGTATATTGGCTAGAACTATCATTATTACAAGGACTTTCTTGAGAAAAAATAAATGAATATAAAAAACAAAGTGGATTGGAATCTTATATTTAGGATCAAAATAAAAGTCAAACAAACTCTTATATTAAGAACTAAAGGTAGTATTATGATCCAAATATTTTATTTTGTTGAAATTACTATGTGTATATATAATATACTCCCTCCGGTCTTTATTATATGCTTTCAATAATTAATCCATGAATAACAAATGACTAGTTAAAATTAGTCAAAAATAATAAATAGGTTAGAAATATACTTTTATTTTCAAATATGCCCTTGTAATAAATGAAAAAAAGAAAGAAAGAATGTATGAAAAAATGTGATAAGTAAGAGTATGACAAATAAGAAAGAATAAATAATTAAGGACAAACTTTTTTAAAAAATACACTAAATACTAAGATAACCCCAAATTAAAACTTATAAAATAGACCACACTCCTCCTTCGCTTATAAATAGGACAGTAGGAAATATAACATTTGGTTGACCAAATTTGATGCAGTTATTAGGAGCCGGCATTGGTTAAATTATCTGCCAACAGATGTACGAGTTTTTTTAACTGAACCTAACTCATCTAAGCTTTTCAGAATATATTATACTCTTCTGATCCTTAATATAAGACTATTTAACTAATTTGATTAGATTAAGAAAGTTAGGTAAATTAGTTAATTATAAGAAATATGACATGTTTTTTTTAAAACACCATAATTATCTTTTTTAATATTCTTCCCCCCACTTGCTTGATTATAATGAGGAAATCTCTATAAGAGTAATTCAAAAAATTAATAAATATGAAAAATAAGTCTTATATTTAGGATTAAAATTAACTTAATAACTCGGTTCTATATTAAGGAGCAGAAGAGTATATAGAAAGAGAGAGAGAAGAGAGGAGAGAGAGAGTAATACCTGGTTGAGATCATAATAAATCTCTTCACTACTTTGTGAAAGCCCTTTGATATCTAACAGATGCAATTCTCTCTTCACATTATTGCTATATTTTGGCGTTAAAAACTTTTTCTCCGGCGATCTGATGAACATATATATATGGGCATGAATTATACATACAACTGTCATATATTATTATTCATGAATGTGTAAATTTATACTACGACTTCAAGTGCAGTTTTTAATAGATTTTGTGACAGTTATAATAATGAAGTTCAAAGTTGAAAGTCACACTGTTCATGGCTTTGTAAATAATATATACAGCACATACATTAATTTGATGGTGGAAGGCAAATAGACAAAAATGATTCAAAAATCGAGAAATATCCCTTGAATCAGTGAGACCTGTGCAAATCTGATATGCTTTTATGATCAGTCATCATGATATATATATATATATAATATATATATATATTCAGCAAACTTGTAATTGAAGTAGAGTGTGGGTGTGTGCGTGTGTGTAACCTCTGAATTGAAGTTAGATTTTCTGGAAAAGTAACGGCGTGTTCAGAGAAGATATGCTGATGATATAATTAGTTATTCAGATGTGAACTTCGAAGCTGATTTAAAATTGATTATAAACAGTTAAAGAAGAGTTAACAAATTGATCATCATCATGACTATACCTTTGGGGTAAGCAAATGGAGCAGATACGCAGATCATTAGCACAAGCTGTTCCTTTATGTTCTTGATGATGATGATGAACTGGTGACATGATGGAATGCCCTTTCATGCTTCTGTACATCTGTGTATATAATCACAATGAAAAATGGCTATATAATCAAACTCAAGATCTTGATAAT